AGACAGATAATTCGTCCTATTTATAAACATATCTACATATTATTCACTAGCTGTAAACAACATTTATTTTAATTACAGTATTACAGTTTGTTTAATTTTATTTAATATATTTATCAACAGATGGAGCCATATATAAAAAATTTACTATAATAATCAAAAGTATACTTTTAAAAGTTAATAATAGTGATTTATATTAATCGATAATGTTAATAAAAATTAAACCTGCAGTAACAATTTATAATTTATTATATATATATATACATAAATAACAAAAATATCAAATTAAATAATAATATATATTTTACACAAAAGATGACGCCACTTGTATGGGGGAAAATGTAATTCGGTCAAAATAGGAATAAATTTAATTAAGTTAAATATAATTTTCTTCTTTAAATATGACTTAAAACAACAAATAGGCGCCGAGGAGAAAATATCTATTAAAATTCCTGTCGAAATTCACGTTTAAAGTGGTAGAAAGACAAAAGATATAAATCACTCTTTGAATATTATAAAATTCATGAAAAGAATTTAATGTCATCAAAAGAGGGTAGGAAATTCGTCGTGTGGATGAATAGAAAGGTCGTAGACAATCTTAGTTGTGTCCAAGAGTGCAAAAGTTAGCTACACCAACAGCCAAATGTGCAGCATGAAGATAAAAGCCTTTGTAAAAATATAATAGCTATAAACAATGACGGAGTGTCGCGTAAAGAAATTTTTATGACTTTCCCTTACGTGAAAATCATACAGCAGAGTCTCCCTCTATGAGTATAGATTGTTATCATTATTATTTTCACTATTGTGATTATTTTTCTTTTTAAATACTTTTTTACTATTCGCGTTTATACTTAAAACGTATAATTATACAGTAATATAAACACGTAAATATATTTTTAGTACGTTTGCCTATTGTTTTCGCCTTAATATAAATATATTAATATTTCCTTACTGAAAATGAATAACAGTTATTATATTATAAATATAAATATAATTAGTTTAGTTTGCATTTAATTCGATAGATGGCGATACGAATTTGTGCTCTATACAGTGTACTTTGCTTACTGAAATTTTTTAAAAGTTTATTTTTTTTTGTAAAATAAAAACTATTATTTTTTTATATACGACATTTATTTATATTATTATTGTTATTTATTAATATATTTTAAAAGTTTAAATTTTTAACTTTTTAAAATTGTTAAAATTTTATATTATATTGTTTATACACAGTAAACGTATTGTGTAACATGTTTATATTGATGAAATAATGAGAATTCAGACAGGGAAAATTAAATGATTTTTTTCCTGATAACCTACAGGGAGGAAATGAACGATGTGACGTAACGTCTGGGGTTTATGAAAAAGGATCGTCTGGTGTTCAGTAGGCCATACCCCTTTCTGTTGGGTGCTGTTTGGGGTCTACACGTCTAGACGTCATTGTTAACTAGCACGTCTGAACTTTTTTTTTGCTCCACTCTTAAAAAAAATCGTCTACAACTCCACTACTCACCGGTCGGAATTTTCTTTATCCCGCTAGTACATAAAATATAATCAAATTTTAAATAGTTATTCCTCTGTATTAGTTATATACAAGCACTTGAAACATTTTATTTATGTTTTTCTTAAACTAAATTATCCATTTTATAGAAAAATAATCTTCCAAATTTTAATTATTTGTATTTAAAAATTCTTTAATATATAACGTTGCTTAAAAAAAACCAAACCAAAATCTTAATTTTAGTCGCATCTCTCATACTAAAATAAGTGCAGAATTTATTATAATTTTTTTTAAAAGTTAGAAACAGTTGGGCATAAAAAAAAGTAGCTTCTAATTTAGGAATGATTTAAAATATTTAATTAATAACAAGGAAAAAAACTTTATACTAATTAATAAACATAATTGAGCAATTGTTTAACAGAATCATCTGGCAAATTTTAACCTAGATTATAATTAATAAACTATTGTTTTAAAAAATGTTGCGTATCACCTGTTTATTTTTTCATTATTTTCCAATATCTTTTATGTTTTTTTTTTGCAGATGAAATTTATCATTTTTTTTATAATTTTAATATCTGTTGCATCCGAAAAAATCTCCTTCAATTATACTAATTAAGACTGAATTGATGAATTGTACATTTTATAATTTTTTTTTGTATAATACAACTTTATAAAATCATTATTATAATTATTTTAATATTTAAAAACTTAAAAAACGGTCGAAATCAAAATTAACCAATGAGTTACTTTCTAAAAATAGAAACTGAAATCGATTTTTATTTTTCATTTCTGTTTCTAAACCAATCAATTTTGATTTTCTCAAAAATAGAAATTATCTTATTTTTCTTTTTTTTTTATAAATTTAATTAATTAACATTTCTATTTCAATTTTTAAATATTTTTTTTAGAATTGAAATTGGCTTTTAAAATTCCTTTCTACTTATGAGAAACAGTAAAAATATCTTCCAAAAACGGCTTTTGGTTAGGTGGAGTTAAGTTAATTTTAAACATTATAAGCTTGAAGATTGCTCAACCTTTAAACTGATATTTGGAGAGGTGACAAAGATACACATATAACTTGTCTGTTTGTCCCTCACACTGTTAAACCACTGCAACAATAGATGAATGGAGACGGTTAGAGGTGCGGTGGCACCTTTACAAATAGACCCCTGGGGACCACCCATTGTGAAAGATGCCTTCAAGTGGTTACAGGGTGCAGGGAAACAAAATCACCTGATATAACTTGTCTAACTTTCTAAGTCGGTCAACAGAAATTCGACTTTTGATAGGTATTGTAATAAAAATGGCTACATGTTATATAACCTTTTTCAAACGATAATTGGGTTGTAACTAGCAATTTCAAATTCCTATCCTTTTACGTCATAATAGATATTTGTTACATATATATATATATTAAACCATTATGGGTGGAATAAATATTTCTTATTACTCTTTCTTATGGTATTCTTCTAATCTCTTGGACCTATTAGTCTATCGTTCTTATATTTCGGTATGTTTGATCCTAGCTAAATGAGTCATTTTTATGCACAACACGAAACACTAAATACACACTCTTAAAAAAAATTCTTCAAATATTTAATGCACTACACACAAGATGGTGTCGTGGCAAATATCTAACGAATTCAGAACGTGAAACAATTGCAATTTGAATCGTGATGGTAAGTAATTTATGATAATGCCTTCGGGATGCCCACACATGCTGCTACAACCCAAGCTGTTTTCGGTAAAAAATAAAAAAATAAAAAGTAAATAAATAAAAATGCATTTTTAAAAAGCATATTATCAATACAATAAAATAAATCTCTTTATTTTTATAAACTTTTAATGCGATTTTNAATTAATATATTTTTTTGTACATAATTGGTTATCCGAAAAATAAGTTATCCGAACAACCCCAGTCCCCAATTGATTCGGATAAACGACGCTCTACTGTATTTGCTTTTTAATATTCATGTACTGTAATTGGTAATGTTTGGAAGATTTATTTCCATTCTCTTTGCACAATAACTTTTCTTTCAATGCTGCATTGTAAAGGCATTTTAAACTTTAAAAAGGGTTGAAATTAAATGCTCAAAATTCATTTAAACTTACATGACCATTGAGCCGGTAGCATAGCAATTCAATTTTTAGAAAGGGCTCAAAAGTATCATTTGTAAATCAATAAAAAATGAAACATATCTTTTGGCATCTGTTACTAATTAAATGTATATTTTTTAAACATCTGTAATACAAAACTCTTGCACTCTGGAAAAGTATCTCACATTCTCAAAATGCATGCATATCAGGTTAAGAGCCCCCACTATTCTAGGGTAACCATATTATATCATTCTAATGAAACAAGAAAGTATTTTTTATACTTCTTTTATATCCCATATTCTAAGAAATTTGACATTATTCTTTCTTTTCAACTTGATTGGAGAGAATGTGTAGTTACAACCAGTTTTTTATGAGAACATTTTTAAGTTACATTTTTTATTTCTTTTGGGAAGGACTCAAGTCTGGAGAACACGCCATTCCTATGCACTTGTGTTGATCAGTATAGTCAAACTATTAGTACATAATGCACCATATGGTGTAATTTGCAAAAAAATAAATAATTACAGGAAATCTTCATTAATTTGAACTTGGATAGTTCAAAATCCCTTTAGTTCATAACTGTACTTTTGTCCCATCCAGAGATATAGAGATTTACATGTTAAGGAATTCAGTTAGTTCAAAATATGGTTACTTTGAAATTTAAAGTGAAAATTCTATCCAAACTGTGATATGTGTATGTTAACGCATTCCTTTAATTTGAAGTATCTCCATACTATAAGATAACAATAGACCAAAAGCAACTCTAATCTGGTCAATATGGCTTTGCTTTTACAGTACAGATTTTTGGCTGTCACTTTACACACAGGCTACCCTTTTTTTCTCTTTCTCATAAAATACAGCTGGTTTTTGGGATTGCAAGATTAGGCTACAAGTAGCAGATTGAGATATATGTAGGGCTCTAAGCTACTACATTTGGATGACTTACTATTTTTGGGCCACTTTAAAATTTTGGCTACATTTCAAGGAATTCTGCTTTACTTTTTATAAAATCTATCTGGCCACCCATGAAGTTCTCACCAGAAACATGCAGTTTACCTCCAGTTTATTTATTAATTATTAATTAATGAAAATAGCATTTTGTATATGAAGCTATATTCCATTTCCTTAATAAATTACATTAGTTATGTGGCATTTGAAATATTGTGCAGAAATATGTAAATCTTGGATAATTTGAAACTGCAATTTTGTCCCTTGAATTTCAAACTAACAAGGATTTCCTGTATTATTTTTTAAATTTATTTATTTGTAATTATTATTTAAATTATTTACAAAATAGCTTTAAAAAAATAGAATATTTCAGAGGTCTGATATAATTGAATGGATGATATACTATAACTTTTTTTTTTTTTCAATTTAAAGTTTAATTTGATAAATTTATAATTTTAAGGTGGTCTAAAATATTGGGCAAGAGAATCAATGTTACCCTTAAAAACAACAATAGAAAACAATAGGCCATACATTTTACCAAGAGTTCCTCAAAAATATGATGCTTCTAATGTTGAAACTACTGCTTATGGCTTATTAGTACATGTTGCAAGACAAGCTGTTATACAAAGAGAGATTGTTGAATGGTTAAATACACAACGAATGAGTGATGGTGGATGGGCATCTACTCAAGTGAGTTAAAAACTTTTGCTACATTAACAACTATTATGAATTTTTTTCATTTTAAAAGTTTTATTTTTTACTTTTACAATAGGATACTATTATAGCCACTCAAGCACTCATCCAGTATTCAATTCAGTCTCGCCTTCGAGATGTAACTGATGTAACAGTTACCATAGAAGTTCCATCTTCATCAGGATTTGTTAAACAAGTTCATATAACTGAAGAAAATTTAGCACAACTACAGCTCTTAGAGGTGAAATTTTGTTTAAGTTCATTATGTTTAATATATGTTATTTAATACATTTTTAATAAAATGATGTGTTAGAATAATATGATACATGTAATAAATAATAAATAACTTTTCTACTCATTTGAAACCGTGTCGTTCTACGTTTTTATTTCATAAGCATGATATAGTGCAGTTAAACAAACACTAGGTGTTATTTCATTCATTTATTTGCTCTTCTTAATTGATATACATTTTTACACGTTTCAGGCCTTACAATGCCTTTCTTCAGTCAACTAATTTTAAAATGTGCATAATTACTACATAACATCAAACCTTTTAAATAATACATATAATTTGCAAACATACCTTCAATTCCGTATTTTACATTAATTGAATTTAATTTACCTTCTGTTGTTTTGCTTTTCTGAGACTGTTTCAATTGATATTTTAACAGATGTATTAACATAGCACCTTAAAATGGGTGTATGCATGGGTGTATACAGGTCCTTCATATTTTATTTCATTCTGTCATTTTTGGAAGAATTACAATAAGTTATGATATAATTATTATCCCAGAGTCAGTCAGTGACTTTTTCACTTGATGCAGAGTCAGTGCTGTGACTCTTGATGTATATCCCATATGTATATGTGTGTATCTCTTTTATTCAATATTAAAAAAATGAAATTTATTCTCAATCTACCTAATTGAAAATTAAAAAAGCATTTTAAAATGAGCAATTACTTATTGTGACATTGTCACAATGCCAAGTTGCAACTTTTAATCATATTCTTAATTTATTTAACTTAAAATATATGCTCTCCACCTCAAATTAGTACTGTAGTACTAGTTTTGTATTTTCTCATAATTGAAAGATAAACAGAAAAAGGAATTTATAATGTCAAAAGCATACTGTAGTAAATAATAATTTTTCTTAACAGTGGTTCAATATATTTAAATCTTTATCTGCATATATATAATTGCTAATCTTCCAAAAACTTTCTCTCATAAATATAATAGTAATTTGCTGAAAACTTTATCAAATATTAAAAGTATACTTTATTATTATATTGTATGATAAAATATCAAAAGAAATTAAATTTAACTATTGATTATACTTATGTATTGTTATGATTATTTTTTAATTAAAGAAATTCATTATAAAATTATTATCTAAAATTAATTGTTTTTCTTTTAAAGATACCAAATGCATCTGGATCAATAATAGTTAAGGCTCAAGGTGCTGGTTTAGCAATAGTACAATTAGACATTCAATATAATGTAGATTGGCCTCATCATCTTATTCCACCTCCTATGTCGACATTTTTGCTTGATGTTAAGGGAAATTTTTATGGGCGAAACAATTCTCATATTAACATAAATTCTTGTCAGAGGTAAAGTCAATAAATTTAATATCAAGCATATATTAATTTAATTAATTAAAATCTTTGTTTTAGTTGGACCAACACAGCTGAAAGTCCCAATAGTGGCATGGCTGTTCTAGAAATAACAATTCCAACTGGTTACCTTATCACCCAACAAGACTTGGATGCTTATGTCAGATCAAATACAGTTAGAAATTTAAAAGAAGCCCGTTTTTCAGAAAGAAAAGTTGTTTTCTATTTCCATTATGTGAGTATATAATTTCTTTACTTAATTAATTTTTTAAATATTTCATATTTAAAATTATTAATTAAATTGCCTAAATCTTAGACTAATTTTAACACTTTCTCAAAGAAGACATACTAATTTGTTTCTTTTTAGAACCTCATTTCTTTTTTCTAAATGAAATCTAATGTTAAAGTTTAAAATATAACATACTCTTCCGTTTATAATGAAACTTAGAACCATTTGATTCTAAGTTCTATTTTTTTAAAACCTCTTTCTTAAATAAATACTCAAAATTCACCCACAAAAGATGGATGAGGTACTGAATATATTGTGCCAGTAATCCTTTCTCTAAAGGTACACTACACAAAAGTCTTGATACATTAAGACTTCATAACAGCATATCCATCATCGCACTATAGAAGGCTGCCATACTAAACACATCACATTGTCAGAATATCCTTAAACACAGATACATACACAAACAGCATGTAATTTTTGTTTTCTGTAATTATGCCTTAGCATTGGTCTGGCATAACACTAGGCACTAGTTTATAGTAAATGCTATGTATACACTCCACCAACTCCATAATAATAAAATTATATAAGTAAACACACTGACATATTACCTTTTATGCTGAATAAAGTTTTGAAATAATATCTTTAATCAAATTGAAATTAAAATATGATAGGAATGTGTTAAATTTTGTTTTGGTCAGAAAATAATTAAATGTTTCAAAATTTTGCATTTTTAAATGCTATATGCAGAATTAATTCTATATTTAGCAGTGACATACAGAAATTACAGAAATATTATCATGAGATATTAGACTTTCTATATAGTCTATCTCATTCATTTGATAACTGAAAATATCAAAAATGTTCAAACTAATGCTTAAAGTTTTACTGCAAATAATGTTTTTGAAATATTTTTTTGTCAATGACGGTTTGTCATAGGTAAAAATCTACATTATCTTTATTAGAAGAGATTCACAAGTCCTCATCTAGTACCTCACAAAATTACAACTGCTACTGATTCAGAATCTATACTGTTCATAATCATAATTTAAGTTCCTAAGCATTTAGGAACTTAAATTATGTCTACTTTTTTAACAAAAAACAAAATGAACAAAAAAGTCTACTTTTTTTAAACATTTCAATAATATAAACCATACTTATAACACACAAAAACTTTTAGAAATGTAGGCCTCCTGTAGCAGAAACCATATAAAAAATTTCAATTAAATATCTCACCATTTCTGAGATATTAAAAAAAACATGCACAGTTTTTGAGATAAAGGAATGTTAAAGTGCAACAGAAATGAAGTGCTTTGGAATACTAACTTGTTTTCCTAATTACACTTAAGTGTTCTATCATCTCCCAGAATTTGCCCAGTCTTGTTGTTATAAGATATTTATAAAAAATTTTAAATATTATATATAAGTATTGATTTGATGAATATAATTATAAGATAAATTTTTTTTTTAGTTGGATGCTGAACCTATTTGTGTTTCATTTGTAATACAAAGATGGTTTCCAATTGCAAATATGACTCGTTATTTACCAGTTAAGATATACGAATACTATGCCCCAGGTAATTTTATAATTTAAACTACAAAATTAATTATAATTAATATATTATACTAAAAAATTTTCTTTTATTTCCTTAGAAAACTATAACGAAACTATGTTTGATGCATTTAGCTTGTTTGTTTTAAATATTTGCCAAGTTTGTGGGTCTTATCAATGTCCATACTGTCCAGTATTCAGTTGGTCTACAAAGAATATTAGCAACATTTTATTACAGTTTTTGTGTGTATTCCTAGTCAATTTTATGTCATATTTGACATCATCAGTATGCATACATTAGTACTTTTGACGAAAAAACATTGGTATTATAATACCTTGCCAATTTTGGCAGTTGGTCTTCCGCTATTACTGGAATTGAGTGATTGATTACAGTGTTCTCACATCATCTTGCACTGTGCATATCCGTGTAAGATAAATCTTTCATAGTTATATCTTGTGTGCAAAAGATTTTCCTACGATCATTTTTAAATTAATTATAGGTGATTCTTTTGTAGTGTATAAAACACATTTAAAATTAATTTTTCACCAATTTATAACCATGAGACTTGCTGTATAAAGTTAATTGAATTTATGATTTTAGATTAAATTTTTAGTGGATTTAGGGATTCACTGCATAAAATTCCAAATCTTATGAATTTAAAAAACTCCTAAAATAATTTTTAATAAAACAAATTACATTCCAAAAAATTATTTGTATACATTTGAATGTAAAATTAATATCCAATGTATTTAAATTAAAAAATGCTCAGTCAAATTAAATCATTTTAAGTGTATAAGAAAGGGAGGCAAAAATAATTTATTGTATATATTTTTTGTTTTTTTTTCTTTTATTTATACTGTTTCATTTATTATATCAAAATCAGATAGCAGATTATAGAAACTATTCACAAATTACATATTTTCTAAAGTTACTTATAAGTTTGATGATCAAAAATGTTTTAAAACCAAATTTGTGCCAAGTAAAACATTCAGAAGTAAAAACAATTTCAATTTTATTATTCACTTAAAAATAAAATCAACATAATTGTATTTTATTCATCTCCGTCCTCATACAATTAAAAACAAATGTACAGTAATGGCATTTAAATCATTAACAATAATATAAATGAAGAAATCTGCATTTTCTTTTAACTATATTTAACAATATCTAATTTATTTCACTCTTTTAGTGATTATTATAAATAATGAAAATATTTGCTTGTTAAACAAAAAAATTTAGAACAGGAAAAGATATATGAACTTGTAGATGTGTGCTTCCAATTATCACCACCTACTTGTTGTATAGTAAAATCTTATGTAATTATTCTTATGATTTTTAGAATAGTTTTCATATTTATATAGCAAATAAAAACATTCTATCCATAGATTGTAAACTGTAGCAGAATGTACTAGACAACAGGGATTCATCTAAATCTTGTAAAATATCCCAAAAAAATTAGAATGTTTCACCTTCATACTCATCAATATGGCAATGTATAATATGTGTAAAGAAACACATTCAAATGGAGTCTAATCTAGTCTCCCTTTTATGTTAATTTTTTTTCTGTTTGTAGAATAATAAATATATAAACTGTTTGTAGCATCACATGATAAAATAGTTCTAAGAATAAATACAGTTTTAATAATCTTGGTGCTGTATTTTTATATTTATAAAATAACTTTCTGACAATAGATGACACTATACAGATTCTGTATTAAAAATTGATTTCCATAACAATGCAAATATGCTAACAGATGATGTGAAATCTTTAAGATTTACAAGATAAAAATTGAATTTATCTGAATTAACATAGTTAAGTACTTTACAATTGTACTCGATACCAAAAATATCACAGTAGTACAATTCTACATTAGGAAATTTGCTTGTTTAGCCAGTTTCAGGATGTATTAGTTCTAACTGCCTCCTCATAGGAAGGAGGACGATCTTCAATTTCAGAATAAGGTGGAGGAAAGTTGGACGTTCCAGTATGCCACTGGCACGAAGATGAAATTGTTGGTATTTCAGGCACACGAGATGAATCTCTCTTCAAAGGAGGAGACACAAGGAACAGTAATATTAAAATAAGTAACAGTACTGCAAATGTCAATCCTATGTAGCCACCTATGCCAACTGAATTGTTGCTATCTGAAAAATTTATATAATAAAAATATTTCAAGTCATTATCAACAATAAGTTTGAAATTTTACAAAATATGTGAAGTTTTGCAATATAATTTCAAAAACTCAAAAAAATATCAATAACTCGCTCTTNTGTTGAAATTCAAAATAAATAATAACAGGATATTCCAAGTTGTTTATAAAATTCAACTGCAATAATAATAATGTGAATGTAACTGTACTTTTACGTGATATCCCACAGTTTTAGAACATTATTACTTTGTTTGTATGTAATCTAGTTTGATCATAAATAAATTTCCTTCTTATTTCTTAGAAATACAACAAATATAAAGTGCTACAGAGATTTATATTTATATGAATATACTCCTTCAATTTAAAAAAGAAAAAAATTATTAATGTATAGCTTATATAAGAATATTGATTACGATATGAACTTGAATTTTATTCCAAAAAAAAAAAATAATAAATAATAATGAAGAAATTCAAATTTTTCTAGAATATTAGTATTTACAGATGCCAGTACTTTAATATGATTGAAGAGAAAGGTAAATTGACCTTAGAAGAAATATGGAAGTTCAAAAGTGTCAGCAAATGAAAGGGTGAAGAAATCAACTAGAGGATATGCCAAATGAGAAACGATGTAAATAATTTCATAATTATACTTTGTTAGGTCGTACAATGTCATATATTATATGGAGAAAAACAGCATATATTGTTCTGATGATTTGAAATTTTACCGGTTTAGTAAGTAGTTATGTTGTCAAGAAATTTTTTTATTTAGTTATTTTAAATAAATATACTTCAAGAGAATATATAAATTAATTTTTAATTTCNAAATGTTGTAGTTGCTGAGAATAAAAAAATTATTTTTCTCATTAAAGTGGTTGCCATCTTATGACTTTTCAAACTTTAACGTTCTCATCTTGCCCCACCTTCTCCTACATGCTCATATTTAATTTTAAACTTTAACTCTTTCCTTTCTTCCGGCATTAAGCGGGCCTTTTTTTAATGCCTATTATAATTTCGATCGGGGCCAGAAATGGAGGGAACTGAGTAACAGGGCCAGGCAGACTTATCCTTTACAATTCACTAATGAAAATTTGAGCCGATCCGAACTCAAAACCAGTCTCCATAGTTGCAGCCACGACATTGATCCATATTAATTTAGAATTTAAACCATATCTATCGTAATAAATAATTTATAAATTGATCAAGAAGCATCAAATATACTTTTATTTTCATTTTTTTATTCTATATTTTCTTTCTTAAACGTACTAGAGGACGATCACTTGGGAGATAAGGGTTGGAAAAGTATGCTCCGAGCGATTCGAACACGGATCTTTCCTGATAGAAATGCACCACACACAGTTACTCAATTGCGTGCCAATTTTATTTTAATAAATAGATGAAATTAAAAAAAAATTACATTATAATTCCACTATAAAATTCTATCAAGTAGCCTATTAGTTGTTTTCTATAATTTAAGATTCCTTGTTCTGATCGCTGAAATCTGACATTGACATATTTAGATAACAAATATCCTTGTCGTGTTCTAATTTTCACTCGACTACTAGCAAAATATTTATAAAATTTATTTTGTTTTGAATTTTTTAAAAATAAATATGTACGAAATGTTGACTGTATATCATTTTTATTGCTATTTGGTTAGGATTTAACTGAGAAAAATTAATGTAAAAAGATTAAACCATATAAATTAATTTGAAATAGTTCTAATTATAATTTCTTTAACTTAAGAAAGATTATATTAAATTTTAAAAATTCAATAGATTAGGCCTGTATATTATTAACAAAATAATATTTTTTATGAAGGAAATGAAGTATAGTAAAATAAAAAACATGACATATAATCTAAATTATTCTACTAATTCTACTAATTTAAATTCTTACAACACATTTTATGGGATTATCTATAATAAGTAAAATCATAAAATGTAATTCTGTAATCATAAGTAAATTAAAAACTCTCTTAAAATTTATAATACTTAAAAAATTAATATAATAAACCTTTAACAAATTCGGAAAGTAATTAAGGATTGAGTTAAATGGAAAAAAAATCATACTTACTGTGGTTATATACAGTATACATGAAACTAAAACCCGTATGATTCCAATTGTATCCAGTTGAATTACTTTTAAACCTCATGACAAAGCTATTTAGTGGAAAAACTGTTCTATCACCACGTTTATTATACCATCTTCCACAAATTGGTTTCAAAATGAGTTTATTAGTAGTAAAGTGAGATATTTGTAATTGATCCACACATTGACTATGTTCGTTTTTACGGATGTCAACGTAAAAGAAACTAAGTAAAACCTTATAATTGTCTGGTATTTTAAGAACAACGTTACAGTTTTTATCTACATCGTACGGAGTATCGTTTCTGGTCATTTTAAATATCCCAGATGAATACGTGCCACTTTCCTTTGCGTAAATGGTATACGTGGATGATGGATTACAGAAATCAGAGAGATAATCTGTCAAAAAAAGTAATTTAAAATTTATATATTTAAAAAAGCTAAGTCTAATTTGTTTTTTTAAATTTTAAAAAAGACATTTTCATCGATACTTACGAGTTAAATATAAAAATGATGGCGATGATGATGGTGATGATAATGATGATTTACAAAATATTCTTGTTAAATTTCCGCTTTCGCTCTTTCTTTGGTAACAAAGTAAAATAAGCAACACAAATATTCGAGTCATTTTATGTTGAAAGTGCGATTTTCAAAAAGAATTATCAACAATGTCTCACTAATTTAAGCTCTGTGCACTCAACAAATTTGCACAAGAGATAATCTCCTAGCGTCCGTATCACATGATAAATGATAAGAAAAGAGATAAATCCAGCTACGAGAATGTATACGGTTCATTTTCATTGGCTAATGGAGATAATCTGCTGCACATCATCATCTTTAAATACATAACTTTTAGAACTCCATAAAGAAAATGTGGAATGACTCACGCGATTTGCTTCAGCAGTTTTCTGCTCGAAAAACTTCTTGGCGTGACATTATTCGTTCGATTTTTTTTCTTTACTTCTCGTATCGATATGTCTGAAAAGGTCAAAATAAACAAAGAATATTAGAATATCAAATAAAAGAAATTCACAGAATGGCGTGCTATACGCTTGAAAATCAAAGAAAAAACAATTATACTTAAAATAATTTCAAAATTCTATGAATTTCACGCTTACCACAAACCGTTTGGTAACCATTAATTAAATTACTCGATAGATAAAGATAATATAAAAGTAATGGTCTTTCGCTCGCGAGTCGTACTTGAATGAATTATTTGAATTAAGTATTGTATTTTTATATTAAAAATCGCATACACGGGTGATGATTTTGCAATTATTACCACACACGCCAAACGTCAATAGTTTGAAAAATCGTAAGAATTTTAAAGAATTTGATCTGTTAAACGTTCAGCAAATAATCAAAATATTCAAATGACTAATTAACATATTCTCTCTTTTACTAAATCGATTTTAATATGATAAAATATAGTTTTATTTAGATATGATTTTTGTTTTTTTTAGATAAAATAATCTCGGAAAATTAATTATTTTTCTTTCGTTTTTATACTCGCGTAGGCGTAGAATTAAATTAAATTCTTTTTTATTTTTTTCTTCATTTAAAATATTTATTATGTTTGATTACCGAGAGAATTAAATTCAATGAAGTAAATCATTGATAGAATGAAAATAAATTTTAAGGAAGTCGATGAAAAGCACCGCTTGTTTCAATGAAAACAAACAATTCTTTTAAGTAAACTGAATTATTTTATTATGTTTTTATTGTGTTTTAATTATGCACGTTTTTTTTTTTTTAAATTATTATTAATTTTTTTTCTTCAATTATATGTGTTTATTCTTGCATATATTATTATAAATTAGAAAATGTAGATTATAGTTAAATGTTTTTTATTATTAAATATTTTTTCTCACTGGCTGATTTCTTTTATAAAATAAACTTTAATAAAGTATTTTTAATTTTTTAAATATTTTATTTTTAATTATATTTTGATTAATTAATAATTATATATCATAGCAAATTATCATTCATCACTGGACTGTAAGATAGTGCTTTTATGGACATACAACAACACTGATATCTTTGATAATTCAATGTGTAGGCCTATATCTTTTAAAGTAGAGTAAATTATAATTCTTCTTCATTTTTCTTATATTAATTAATACACAGAATGGCTCAAAAGTCAATTGACCGTTACAAAGACTAACATATTTCTAACTGCTGCGTATTTTTTATTGTTTCTATCAGTTTTCTAAAAGGAAAACGCGTTAAAACATAAATAAAGGTTAACTAACTTTTGATCCACCCTGTATAATTACGCTTAATAAATGTAGTTTATACAATTTTTACTTCTCTGATAAATTGATAGTTCATTTTCCATTTAATGAGAAATTTTGCCATTGTAAATTCGAATTTACGAAGGAAAAAAAAGAGTATGCTATAATGTTAACTGTACGGATAATTAAGTTTACGAGTTAAATTTGAGCTTAGAACTTGTTGCAATTTAATTTTTACTTAACGTTGTAAGACAAGCACACCTGTTATCAACAAAGCATATAATGTCTTAAATATTTCCTATTTTGAAATAGGGAATTCCTGTATTGACTTTCAAAAACTGAAAACTTGTTTTCTTTTAAGGGAAATTTATTAAAAATTTCCCTGCAAGACATTTTTCATTTCTAAAATGAGCTGTTTGTAACTGTCGAAAGTTACATAATAAACGCTTTCAGTTAAATCTTATATTTTTACATAAATCTATAATTTTGGAAAGCGCTAAAATTTATTAAAATTATTAATTAAATTGCCTAAATCTTAGACTAATTTTAACACTTTCTCAAAGAAGACATACTAATTTGTTTCTTTTTAGAACCTCATTTCTTTTTTCTAAATGAAATCTAATGTTAAAGTTTAAAATATAACATACTCTTCCGTTTATAATGAAACTTAGAACCATTTGATTCTAAGTTCTATTTTTTTAAAACCTCTTTCTTAAATAAATACTCAAAATTCACCCACAAAAGATGGATGAGGTACTGAATATATTGTGCCAGTAATCCTTTCTCTAAAGGTACACTACACAAAAGTCTTGATACATTAAGACTTCATAACAGCATATCCATCATCGCACTATAGAAGGCTGCCATACTAAACACATCACATTGTCAGAATATCCTTAAACACAGATACATACACAAACAGCATGTAATTTTTGTTTTCTGTAATTATGCCTTAGCATTGGTCTGGCATAACACTAGGCACTAGTTTATAGTAAATGCTATGTATACACTCCACCAACTCCATAATAATAAAATTATATAAGTAAACACACTGACATATTACCTTTTATGCTGAATAAAGTTTTGAAATAATATCTTTAATCAAATTGAAATTAAAATATGATAGGAATGTGTTAAATTTTGTTTTGGTCAGAAAATAATTAAATGTTTCAAAATTTTGCATTTTTAAATGCTATATGCAGAATTAATTCTATATTTAGCAGTGACATACAGAAATTACAGAAATATTATCATGAGATATTAGACTTTCTATATAGTCTATCTCATTCATTTGATAACTGAAAATATCAAAAATGTTCAAACTAATGCTTAAAGTTTTACTGCAAATAATGTTTTTGAAATATTTTTTTGTCAATGACGGTTTGTCATAGGTAAAAATCTACATTATCTTTATTAGAAGAGATTCACAAGTCCTCATCTAGTACCTCACAAAATTACAACTGCTACTGATTCAGAATCTATACTGTTCATAATCATAATTTAAGTTCCTAAGCATTTAGGAACTTAAATTATGTCTACTTTTTTAACAAAAAACAAAATGAACAAAAAAGTCTACTTTTTTTAAACATTTCAATAATATAAACCATACTTATAACACACAAAAACTTTTAGAAATGTAGGCCTCCTGTAGCAGAAACCATATAAAAAATTTCAATTAAATATCTCACCATTTCTGAGATATTAAAAAAAACATGCACAGTTTTTGAGATAAAGGAATGTTAAAGTGCAACAGAAATGAAGTGCTTTGGAATACTAACTTGTTTTCCTAATTACACTTAAGTGTTCTATCATCTCCCAGAATTTGCCCAGTCTTGTTGTTATAAGATATTTATAAAAAATTTTAAATATTATATATAAGTATTGATTTGATGAATATAATTATAAGATAAATTTTTTTTTTAGTTGGATGCTGAACCTATTTGTGTTTCATTTGTAATACAAAGATGGTTTCCAATTGCAAATATGACTCGTTATTTACCAGTTAAGATATACGAATACTATGCCCCAGGTAATTTTATAATTTAAACTACAAAATTAATTATAATTAATATATTATACTAAAAAATTTTCTTTTATTTCCTTAGAAAACTATAACGAAACTATGTTTGATGCATTTAGCTTGTTTGTTTTAAATATTTGCCAAGTTTGTGGGTCTTATCAATGTCCATACTGTCCAGTATTCAGTTGGTCTACAAAGAATATTAGCAACATTTTATTACAGTTTTTGTGTGTATTCCTAGTCAATTTTATGTCATATTTGACATCATCAGTATGCATACATTAGTACTTTTGACGAAAAAACATTGGTATTATAATACCTTGCCAATTTTGGCAGTTGGTCTTCCGCTATTACTGGAATTGAGTGATTGATTACAGTGTTCTCACATCATCTTGCACTGTGCATATCCGTGTAAGATAAATCTTTCATAGTTATATCTTGTGTGCAAAAGATTTTCCTACGATCATTTTTAAATTAATTATAGGTGATTCTTTTGTAGTGTATAAAACACATTTAAAATTAATTTTTCACCAATTTATAACCATGAGACTTGCTGTATAAAGTTAATTGAATTTATGATTTTAGATTAAATTTTTAGTGGATTTAGGGATTCACTGCATAAAATTCCAAATCTTATGAATTTAAAAAACTCCTAAAATAATTTTTAATAAAACAAATTACATTCCAAAAAATTATTTGTATACATTTGAATGTAAAATTAATATCCAATGTATTTAAATTAAAAAATGCTCAGTCAAATTAAATCATTTTAAGTGTATAAGAAAGGGAGGCAAAAATAATTTATTGTATATATTTTTTGTTTTTTTTTCTTTTATTTATACTGTTTCATTTATTATATCAAAATCAGATAGCAGATTATAGAAACTATTCACAAATTACATATTTTCTAAAGTTACTTATAAGTTTGATGATCAAAAATGTTTTAAAACCAAATTTGTGCCAAGTAAAACATTCAGAAGTAAAAACAATTTCAATTTTATTATTCACTTAAAAATAAAATCAACATAATTGTATTTTATTCATCTCCGTCCTCATACAATTAAAAACAAATGTACAGTAATGGCATTTAAATCATTAACAATAATATAAATGAAGAAATCTGCATTTTCTTTTAACTATATTTAACAATATCTAATTTATTTCACTCTTTTAGTGATTATTATAAATAATGAAAATATTTGCTTGTTAAACAAAAAAATTTAGAACAGGAAAAGATATATGAACTTGTAGATGTGTGCTTCCAATTATCACCACCTACTTGTTGTATAGTAAAATCTTATGTAATTATTNATAAAAAGGGAAAAGGATTAATTTTGAGAACAGGAATGGGTTTTATATAAAATTGTAAATGCTAATAACGAGTAAAATCGTCATTAAGTTTGATCCTACTGGAGATACACACGACTCCTATCATCTCCCCATCCTCTCGACCTTTACTCACCAAAATTTAGTAGCATCAAACGGACCTTCCTGCAAAATTTCAGAAATTTTCGACAAAAAGCATAGGAGTTATTAAGCTTCAAAGAGCGGTCTTCAACAAAACTTCTGGAAAATATGTTGTATATGAATCATGGAGGACAGGCCATTATATAAATAATAATGATAACATTTATGTAAATACAAATATCTGTACAAATTTATCATTATGAATATAGATAGACAGATAATTCGT